AGCTCCTTCGCCGCAGCAAGGCAGTGATCCAGGAAGGGGTCATATTTATTAAAGAACCCATTTAATCATTGTCAAAGTGATAATTGAACAGTGAATGAGAGGGAACAATTAATTGATTTATCTACAGATTCATTATTACATATGCAGTACAAACAGGAAGAATTTCTTGATTTTTTGTTGCAAACTTGCAGTGAATATCTGAAGCATTTAATACAATAGAATTCTTATGCCTTTTGTCACAACTTGTTTACATGAAAAGACTCTTACCGCATCTATAGCAATGAAAACAAAATACAGGGATAAAATAGGTACAGAACCAGAAATATAATACCAATTTTTCATTCTCTTTCTGACAGAAAACAAGCACATCCATGTAAATAAAATGAAGTATAATTTTTAGTGATATATTAAAATTTAGTTTGCATTCAGTATGTTTTGTATTATTTAGTTACTAAGAAATAAATGGCTTCATTAATGCATGTATAAATGGTTTCTGCTTAAATTGTATGAAATGTATTATTGCAACATGTTTTGCAACATTCTGTTCAAATAAAATGTATTTCATAAAAAGTATCTATTAATGGGTTCTGCACTGATTTTTACATGGACGAGAGGTCCTTGTGTATCTCAAGACTGACAACCACTGATTTTGGTAATACCTGGTGAGCAATGCATCATGGAATCAGTGACTTTGCACTCATTTAGCAGGCAAAAGTGTACACTAGGACTGATTACCCTCCTTAATTCTTGTTGAGGCTGCATTTTTGTTGAGATCCCATCTTCTGTTGCCAAGCAAACTCCTTCACTGGTTTCTTCCCTGTTGAGCTCTACTGCTGCTGCAGTGGACCATCCTCCCCCACCCCTTCCTCTCCTGGACTGAAATACATCAACGCAAATAATTGTTTGGCTTCCTAGTGCGATGAAATAATTGTGGTAGAATCATCCATTTTAATGATGAGTCTAACTCTGTGTTCCCAGCTGTGGTTTGTGCCCAGCCTCTTCAGTACAGTATTTAAAAGCCTTGACCAGGTTTTTTTCATACTGATGTTGCATACCCAATCTGGAGCCTCTGGAGGTTTCTGTTGCTGCCTCATTAGTGAAGTGTGTGGTGATGTCCCATGGGCATCTTCCCATTGCAGTTTAGTTTGTATTTTGCGAGGCCATGCTATATTTCTTCTTTCTACAATTATTTTGGGGAAACATTCTGATAGGCAAGTCATCACATATCTAAATTTCACACATATTCTCAGATCTCCCAAAATCTCAGATTTGGGTATCCACTATAATTTTCAAGATCTTCATTTCTTCCCTGCAATTCAGTATAGGATTGTATTAACTTTGTTCCTCCTGCCCTTGCTGTAGACCTAAGTTCATAGCTGCACTTGCTGTTTTTGCAATTTCATTCAGTTGTTGAGAGAACTAATTTATTTGTGTTTCCAAAGCCCCCCTCCACAGTAGCAGATCATTCTTTCCTCAGACTCCTGTATAGTTCTGAAAGACCTGCTATTGTCCCTTACCACCTTCATTGCCTTTGTTCACAGCACTTTAGACCCCATTGTTGGGCCTTCTGCCTCTGGCTTTTTAAAGATCAGCTAGCTCCAGAGTTCATAGAAAGTCTTCCTTGTGGCGTTCTGGGGTTCCAGAAAGCATGTCCTACAAGGATGCTTCTAAAATGCTAATTTTATTTATTTACTTATTTAGTGCATATATATACCACCCCAATAGTCCACAGATTTACAAGCATTAAAACCCATATACAAACAATAAAATACCCAAATAAAACACAAAAAGCTCAAGAAAACACTAATAATGCTAAGCAACGGTAACTTCATATAAATATTACATTAGAATAAGTTATAATTTTCAAAGGGGGTCAGGTTAAATTCTCATATTAGGACAATAGGACTCCCCCCGCACCTTACCAGATCTTAATTTCTATTCCAGTTTCTTTGTTGAGCATCAACAGTGATAATATTGTACATCTCTAGGGAAGGTTGAAACAGTGCTCTGTGAATAATCTGGATCAGGAGAACGTACCTCTGTTTCCTAGGAATTAAACCAAGTTAGCTCATAAATCATGCACATTCGTACAAAAGAGCTGGCTCTGCAATAGTATCTCTTTTCATGGAATTGCATAGTGTACAGGCAGATTTCAGGTTGGGCTTCTCCACTGTGGAGGAGACAATCTGTCCATATTGTGGCATGAATTTATACCCATCAGGTTACATATCAATGTGAGCTTGTAAGAAAACAGTACAGATTAGTAAGAACTTGTGGTTAGCATACTCCTGAGCAGGAAATATGCGCACCCTGTGTTAACCAAATCCTCTTTGAAGTAAATCACAGTTCAAAGGCTGAAGGTGCAATCTAGTGCCAGCTGTAGGCCATTTTTCTGTCTAAACTGGTATATGAATGCAACTTAAAAGAAGCATCTGTTGCTCTTTCCGAATTGGCTAGTTTTTCAAGAAATAATCTAGCTTCTTAATCAGTAGTTGAAATAGGACAGCTTTCATGCCAAGAGCTAGAATACTTGTCTTTTTCAGAAAGTAAGCTCTCTCTACCTGATACAACCTCCCCTATTAGTAATCCAACAGTAGACCTTGTATGCTTGACAGTGACTTCTGTTATCCTGTAAGATAAGCCTTTCAGCAAGCAAGGCTAGGTTAAAAATATGGCTTTTAGGTCCAAGAGATCACAATCTTAAATTCTAGTTTAGTATGAGCATATGGCAGCAAATCAAACTTAGATCCATACTCAAGAACAATATATTTGCAATTCAACCCACTCTTGCATTTGTGTACTGCTTTTACTCATTTTTAATGAATTTAAACTAGTAAGCAGGGCTCTACATATCAAGTTACAAGATCTTCCTCTTTTTCCATTTGGAAATGGAATGAAAAGGGTAGGCTTTTATTTTTTATTGGTGATTTGTATACCTTTTATAAGCATCTTTGACTATTTAGTTGCTGTTGGAAATGGAAAATGTTCGTTCTTGAATTGAGCGATTGATTAGTTTGTTGGTACAGCTGTTGAGCTGGCAGAGTTACAGCTAATACCAAAGAAGTACTTTGAATAATTATTAGATAAGAGAACATATTCTTTGAAGTGTGAGCACTCTGAATTATGTTCAGTTGTTCATGTGGCAGGGGTTGTATTTTGAGAACATTAGTCTCTGTGGCTCTTTTGATTTCAAGGCAGGAAGTGGCACACCGCTGTGGTGAATGTTAAGTAATAACCTATGCCTAGGGACAAGTGTCAGTCTCAGATTTCCTTAAAAGCAGATTGATACCACAGAAGCTAAAAGACAGAAGTTTTTAACTCTAGTCCATTAACATTGTTAAAGTTTTTCTAGCTACGTATTGAATAAAAATTTGACAATAAAGCACCATTATGTTTGTTAAATTGCTACCATAGAAAATTTTAGGTTAGTGAAAAGCATTTTATTCCTTAGGAGCAGGCTGTCCACAGAACCTGGAGATCTGCCAACTAGAACTATACCCAAAACTAGTGGCATAGATGGTGGAGCAAAAGCCAAAAATGAAAGCATAGGCATGGGGAATGAGAGAATTACTGCCTCCCAGTACACTGCATATATAACTGCAGGTCTGAATTAAAAGCAGAATAAGGGATTCTATCATCAGCCCCTGTCTCTGCCAGTGGCCAACAGAGTGGACAAATATCTGATCAGAGGCAGCCAATATAATACTCATAATCTGCAGCTGAAGAACACTGAAATAGGAGCTTAAGGTCAGTATCAAGTACATGACAGAGAATACTTGTTTTAGTGGAAATTTTAGGAAATAACAAGCTGTATTCGCATTTTCAATTTTAGAGCTAAGGAATATTGACTCTTGGTGACATACAACTCGCAAGCCATTGTGAAAACATATTATGTGGGTGCTGGGTTGCTCATGAAAATGTGTTCTGTTGCTTTGGCCAAATGGGTCATGGAAGGCTGAGCCATTGATGGTCATTCCATTGACCATCCGCCGCCTTTGGCATTGGCTCCAGTGAGCTCAGCAAATGTGGCAAATTGCTGCCCCGTTGCCTAGGTTCAAATGACATGACAACCCCAGAACAAGCCATGAGTTTGGGGTTTGGAGAGATCAGTTTGGAGTTACTTGCAATATCTTTTGTTTTGACCACTGTAAATAATTGGTGCTATCCACAAACAAGTTTATTGCTCACTCCTAATTCCAGTCCTTTTATGAATACATTGAAAAGCTTTTGGTTTCAGTACAGATTCCTGTGGGATTTTCATCACTTTTCAGTTTCATCGCTTCATTGGCAGAATTTAGCATTTATTCCTATTCTCTACTTCCTATTATTTACTGGTCCATAAAAGGGCCTATTTTATTTCATGACAACTAAGTTTGCTCAGGATTCTTTGGGTAGGGCCTTTGTCAAAGGCCTTTGGAATATCGAAGCAAACAATGTTACCATCTGCCTGTTTCTTTACCTCAAGTCTGCTCCTCCAGTTAAATGAGTCCAAGGCTGTCTATGAATTGTCAGCATCAGTACTGAGCATGATTTTTCCAAATACAAGCTTTTAATGTGTGTTTATTTTTTTAATTACATAAGATTGCAAACATTTCTTCGGTGAAAACAGATGACTCAATTTGGAACCTTGGACATAGTCTCAGGACTTGGCACCATTCATAAATATTCTTGCATGATCTCTGTTAAGTGAGAGGTGCTGTTGGTGGTTATGGATCATCATAGCCCACAGAAACAAGTAGGTAGCTTACTCAAGTGGCCTCCTGATCTAGGGTGGAACAGGCAGGAGTACTGAAGTAATAGTATCAATAGGTAGCTTGAGTTGTTGCAGGAGGAATTTGAACCTAACTGCAAACATTGGAATGGTTTGACTTACAAGGCTGTTCTAACAAGTTAAAACCATAGCTCCAGATTAATGCTCTTTCTTTAATGTTCGACAGTTTCTACTAAATAATAATGCATGAATAATGAATATTATTGTAAATTAAGACCTTTCTTATTAGCTAGAGATACTGGGAAACTAGCAAGAGGTACTAAAAAGATGAAACTTTTATTACTGAACTTGGGGGTTGGGAGCCATTCTTTGGAGTTTGCTACATGACCTCGAGCCAGACATCCTGGAATGTGAAGTCAAATGGGCCTTAGGAAGTCTGAGCAACAACAAAACTAGTGGAGGCAACAGTACTCCAGCTGAGCTATTCAAAATCCTAAAAGACGATGCAGTAAAAGTGCTACACTCAATATGCCAGCAAATTTGGAAAACTCAACAGTGGCCACAGGATTGGAAAAGTTCAGTTTATATTCTGATCCCAAAGAAGGGCAATGCCAAGGAATGTTCAAACTACCGCACCATTGCACTCATTTCACATGC